ATAATAAAATGCTAAAGAAACATAATGAAAATAAATAACATTTAGAAAAACGAAATACATAAGCAAGGCAATTTTTCGAATGATTACTTACTAGTTAAAGAGTTGCCTAAGTGAGGTGGGGTGGGTTAGAGTAAGTTTGTGAAGGACCAAGTGGAGCAATAAATGCCTGAGATTTGTCCCTGGCTAAATCCTGGGACAAGCCAGGTGCAGTGACTCACACCTATATTCCCAGCAATTTGGGAAGTGGAGGCGGGCAGATTACCTAAGGTCAGGAGTTCAAGCCTGGCTAATATGGTGAAACTCTGTCTCTACTAAAAATACAAAAATTAGCTGGGTGTGGTAACGCATGCCTGTAATCCCAGCAACTTGGGAGGCTGAGGTATGAGAGTCGCTTGAACCCGGAAGGTGGAGGTCGCAGTGAGCCGAGATTGTGCCACTGCACTCTAGTCTGAGCCTCAGAGTGAGACTCTGTCTCAAAAAATCAAATCAAATCAATCAATCCTGTGACAGTCTTCTCTCCTTGGCCCTTGAGTCTCTGGAAGTGTGTGGTTATGAGCTAGCAAATGAAGCTGCAGCTGAAACAATGGGATAAAGGAGGGAAAAAAAACCCTCAAAACTTATGTTTGTTTGCATTCTTTTTGCATTCATTTACATGGCTTTTGACAGCATGAGACTGGACTTCTGCTTGCATTTCTGAATGTGCTACCATTCAAGTCACTTGGCAGCTGCAGTTATCATTTTGTCTGCATCACCTGAATGTATTTTAAACATTTGATATTGAATATTCGTAACTCCTTCTTTTCTTCCTCTGACCAGTAATGAGTATCAAGTTGAGCAGTTTTTTACTAGAAAGAAAGTTTTCACTTGATAATATGGGGAAGATGCACATATGCATAGCACATTTAGACAATGTGATCCTAGGGGAGGAACCCCTGAATTACAAAGGCAGCTGTACATCTTGTCACTCAGACTCAGACACAATTGAAACATTTTCTCTGGTGTTCACAGGCAGATGATAGTGGATTTTTCATTCCAATGGGAGTTTTAAATAAAAAAATTTGATAGTCGTTGCAGTGAATTGTGAGAATTCAACTAGAAAAGGATACCTATAAATGGCGATTGCTTGACAAGCATTGCAGGCTTTGGCACCAGACAGTCCTGGATCCGCAGCCTGGATCCCGACTTAGTAGCTTGCATGATCTTGGGTAAGTAAGCTTATTAACCCCTATGAACCTCTGCTTTCTCAAATGTGAAATAAGGATAATAACACTTAACTTACAGGGTAATTATAAGATCATAATACATGTATATTGTATCTGGCATATGTATTAATGCTCAATTTAAAAACAATAACTACTTCTGTTAGTCTATTAGCATGTGGGTATAAACAACAGAAGTTTAAAGAAAAAAACGTATAATATAAACTGAATATGGCCTATTTGTTATTGAGGTACTAAGAGAAAAATTATTTTTTTAAGAGACTAATTATTGTTATGCACAAGAAAACAGAGGGAGCCATGTCCATAAAGGCAAGATGACTCACTGCGAGTTACATTTTTCCTCCTCATCTTGGCAGTGTCTTATAAAAAAGCAGTGCCCATCTTCTCAGAGTCTAACTGAATGTTTGATGATGGTAAAGCCCAAACTAAATTCTCCCAGTCTGTTCTTAATCCACAGCAATAACTCACTGAATCTTTCATATTATAGCCATATCCTGTATACACTAAAATAGGTCTAGGTCAAGGACTATTTTCAGACACATTTGTATGTACTTTCTGCATGTCAGGTTTATATAACTGGTCGCCGTTTGCACACACAGATGTCCCAGGAAAATCTCTAGTACCTCTGAAGCCCTTGGGATCCAATGTGCTTCTCTACCAAACCCTTTCCCAGACCAGCATTCCTTGTTTCCTAGGGCTGGGCTTCGACCTGCATTCCCAAATCATCTGCCCAGTTTTCCTGCCTTGTGCCAGTCTCAGAGCCCCCACTCAGCTCTAGTCTTTTCTTTTCTAGGGACCGTAACACTGGTCTTTGATTCATAGCCTGCAGTACTGGCATGGAGGGAGAGAGATTTCCTGAGCTAGGCTCCAACACAGCCTGAAATCACCAAGCTTCGCTTCTGAGTCCTGACCCCCAGATAGACTTCCCTATGCACCCTATGCCTGAATCATGCCTGGCTGGTTGTTTCTCCAGAATTGAGGTGGGGAGAGGTGGGAAGAATGAAAGGAAAACCCTTTAAAGAGAATGGGAGGGTCATTTACATCGGACAAATGAGCCAGTGAAGACTGTGGGCTCTGAAAACAGACTGCATGGGTTTGAACCCCAGCTTCACCTTCACAAGCTATGTGACCTTGGACAAGTTATTGAACTTCTTTGTTGCTCAGTTTCCTCACTTATAAAATGGAGATTATACCAGTATTTACCTTATAAATTGTCATAAAGATGAGGCAAGTTGCTACACTGATAAAGTGCTCAGAATTGTGCTTTACACATATTAAATGTTAATTATCAATGATAATGATGACCACAAGCTTCCAGCAAAGGGGTAACACCCAGGCTCCTTAGTACGGCATCTGAGGATTTGCCTAGTAGGGCCCTGTTTCTCTCTCACTGCATATCTTTGTCCATATGTGCCATTATAAAAAAATACCTGAGACTGGGTCCTTTTAAAGAAGAGAACTATATTCCCCACAGTTCTGGAGGTTGGAAGTTCCAGATCAAAGCACCAGCACCAAAGCACTGTCTTAGTAGGGGCCTGGTCTCTGCTTCCAAGATGGCACCTTGTTGCTTGACCTCCACAGGGGACAAATGTTGTGTCCTCACATGGTGAAAGGGTGGAAGGGCAACAAAAGGGACTAGCTAGCTACCTCAAGCCCTGTTATAAGGGCACTCATCCCTTCAAAAGGGCTCTTAATACCAACACTTGGAGTTTAAGTTTAAACATATGAGTTTGAGAGGGACAAAAACATTCAAACTATGGCATTATTCATGCCTTGTATACTCTTCCTTCAGCCACAGCAGTCAGTTTCACAACACTATACCACTGTCCAGGAAAGTCATGTTTTCCTTTGTTTATGCTACCCTCAGGTTAGTGCGTTCACTTTCCCCACCCAACCTCCCCATCCTGCCTCTCTTATTCAAACGTTATTTCATGCGCCACCTTCCCCACAAATCCCAGGAAGCGTGGATCAAATGTATCATGGAGGCATATGTTTGTTTTCTCCCTAGACTCAAGCTGTTTAAAAGGAAAGATACAACGTCCTTCTATCGCCATCCTATGATACACAGAAGAGTGCCTAGCACATAGTATTAACTCAATATATTAAGTGTTTTTAATTCTACAGGATTGACTCTTGTCATTGATGTCAATGGCTAAATAATGGCTGTTTTAGAGTACCTGTGAGGGTTTTCTTAGGTAATCTACACAAATCACTTAGCAAAGTGCTGGCCACATATATTTATTGTGACTAGTACTGTTGCTATAACTGCTGATGTTTTGGTGTATAGCAGTATAGCAGAAAGAGCTCAAGCTTTGGAGCTGAAGAGAAATGGACTGAAAGACCAACTTTGCCACTTAAAAGCTGCAGGAACTCCAATTTCCTTAGTTATAAAATTGAGGTTATAATATCTATTTGAATGTAAAACACTTGGCAGAAAGTAAGCAACCAATAAATATCATTAGATTCCTTCTCTTTCTCTTCTATGCGTATTTTTGTGGCTTGGCTCAGTTTACTACACTTCTCTGGTCTCACTTTCCTCCTCTGTAAAAATGAACTAGATTATTTCCATGTTCCCTACCAGATCCAAATTCCAAAGTTACTGAACTCATCATCTTTTTCCCCTTGAATCTACTCATTCTCTGTCCCTGAGGGAGGTTCTTTCCCTGATAGCTACCCAGTATATTAAATTGTTTCAATTCTCTATCTCTCTCTCTCTCAATCTCTCTGTAAGAGACCGTAAAGTGGTCCAGACCCAGGGCCTTGGCACAACTCCAGGGGCCATTTGCACAGTGGGATTAACATACGAATAGCACCTGTCAACTGAAGAATCATGAGCTTCATAAATTCGGACAGGAGATCTTCATTTCTCATAAAGGGTTGCAGCCAGCAGGCCAGCCATCCTGCAGAATGGGAAGCATAGCCTCAGCAGAAGCTGACAGCAAACACTTCAAGGGAGGGGTAAAAGTGAACAGGAATTTATGCTGAGTGGGGTGGCTGAGTATATATATTGAATAACCTATAGGAGGAGTCATAAATATTTATGAAGATACATGCACATGTGCAGTTGAGCTTCATGCCTCTTCATAGGCCCCATGTTCAAAAAATGGTGTTAGCATGACCCAAGGGTGGAGCTTTTGGTCTTCTGATGTCCAAACGTGAAGATGAGGACATGAAAACCCTCACTGTGCATCCCCCACAAGTTGGTCAAAACCATCTGGAGATCGTGGTCATCTTTTAGGAAGGGTGCATTGTGAAACTGGTGAGCTGTCACACTGAAACTGCAGAGGCGGGGAGAATCTGGTTATGGCCTCAGATGATTAGCTAAAGGTGATAAAGCAATGAAATATCAGCTTCTTGTTTTCCAGAGCTAGCTTCTGCTTACTTCTTAAGAAAGAATTATAGCTAAAACTAATAAGGAAGAGACATACTGAGGCATGGTAGACCTCCCATTCTATCAAGGCCAGGAATTCAGTTTTTAAGGTTTCTCTGGGGTCCCCATGGACAAGATAAAGTTCATTCAGTCAGTTGGAAAGCTTTGAATTTTATTTTTATTTCTCACACTCTAGGCATTGGGAGATCCTCAGCAGCCCACAGTCCAACCCTGGCTGAATTCTTTTCATGATGTAGAATAAAAGTCACAGAACACACAGGGAGAAATAGTCTCCAGCTTTCCTTGAGTCCAGAAAAAAATGAATATCCATCTGAAAACCAAAGAGTGCACGAGCATTGGGCCAGGTGTATCATTGTATTCATGGCCTTTTCTTTCCTGTTCTGTCACAGACTTTGCAAATGGGCATCAAACACTTCTCTGGACTCTTCGTGCTGCTGTGCATTGGATTTGGTCTGTCCATCTTGACCACCATTGGTGAGCACATAGTATACAGGCTGCTGCTACCACGAATCAAAAACAAATCCAAGCTGCAATACTGGCTCCACACCAGCCAGGTGAGTGCCACAGGTGTCTTGCTCCAATATTCTTAAACTGTAGAATTCCTAGTGATGGGAGGATCCAGAGCCCTATGTCAGACTGGTAAGTTATGTTACCACAATAACGAGGGTGGGGTAGGCACTCTCATTAGAGCAGAAGGAATTCTCTCTATTCCATTAATTCACATTTCTCTTAAATTAAGCTATCCCACAGTGCTCCTTCCTTTCCTATAACCCTCCACTGTTGCTCATAATAGAAGCAATAGAACTTTTTTTAACCAGGTTTCACTTAATAGTGACAGTCCGAAGAGATGGTGTGAAAGATTTCCTAGGTTCTTTTCTTGCCAAAATTGAAACCTATTACATGAGTTTAAAGTCCCTGGTCCCCTTTAAGCGATCCCACTTGCCCCTGTTCTCTCTGCTTTTTCCCTGGTCCAGAGAAGTTTGAGATCCACTGGGGCCAAGGCCAAACTTCACAAGGTCGCAGTTCTCTCCTGTAATCTAGACATCAACACACTGATTTACAGGGAGAACAGAAACTGTCAAGCAGACTGGCGATTCAAGCACACTCATTTGCACATCTCTCCCTGAATGAAATTGGCATGGAGACCCAAAATGTAGTCAGAAGGCTTCATAATGATGGAAGATCTCTAACAAAGGGAGTGGTTTCACTTGACCACAGCAAGGCTGGATAAGCCATCCCGGCCTCTCCTGTGGTGAGACTGCCTCCTACCCCCCAGTGTACCATGGATTACCTCCCAGCAGGGAGGCTGTCGCTTCTTCTGCATTTACCCCACTCATGTATTCATATACCCTTACGCTAACCTCCTTGCTTTGGTAACACTTTTCTTTTTTCTAGATAGGTTACTGTCATTGGTTTGGTTACAGTTGAACCCTGTTCTTCCTACTTTCATCCTGGGAAGTATTTGGTCCTCTAGGAGAACTCCACGTATCTTCCTTATTGTATCCTAATACGATTAATTTAATTCTCAAGAGTCCTCCTTCCCTTCTTTGTTTTGGTTGTCAATAATTTTGTACTTTTTACTCATCTTTAGCAATTATTGAAGGCCTTTTGCTACACATTAGTTATGATTGTGCCTCCTTATATCACATACTGTCTTATAATACTGAGCTTTCCATCAGAACACTTTTTTTGTTTATCCAGGTGGAATAAATGGAGCCTCTAATTAGAATTTTTGTTCCCTTGAGATTTGAGGCTGAATGTTGATCTATTTTTAGGCATTCCTGGAATTTGTTTAAAGAGGCCAAGGTTTGTAATGACTACATATACCATTAAATGTCAAGTGGTTCTTCATCCCCTGACCTATGTGTTTCTCATAATTTCTACATGTGAATCTGTTCTCTCCACCAGAGATTACACAGAGCACTAAACACATCATTTGTAGAGGAAAAGCAACAGCATTTCAAGACCAAACGTGTGGAAAAGAGGTAAGAAGGGGCCAATGGCAACTGTCTTTATATTTGTAAAATAATATTTAGAGATCTAACTGTATAAATAGTTATTCAGATCAAATCAGGACAATTTGTTTAACAACAGAATCAGTATAAATAGAGGGAAATAAAACATAGAATAAAAAATGTATATGGACACTAAAATGCAGTGTACAGAATATACTGTCATGATTAGAAATGTAGCCATGGACTCTAGGATCAACCCCCTTGATCCAAATCCTGTCCCCAAGACTTATGATATGTGTTACTTTGTGTAAGTCATTGATTTAATCTCTCTGCACCTCAGGTTCCTCATTTGTAAAGTTGAGATAAAAACAGTACCTATTTCCTAGAGTTGTTGTAAAGATTAAATGAGATCATACATGTAAATCTCTGAACAAAAGGAAATGCCAAATATTATTATGTACAAAATACATGTAAGAATTAATGAATACTGCAGGCAATTAATTTCATGGTTTACTGTCTTTTGGCATATTTCCACTCCCTACTCCTTTCTAGCACTCTTAGGAACAGAGTATTGGAAATATGAAACAGACATGTCCTGCCTAATTCATTTCCTGGCACTTTTCTACAAACTCCCTAGCAAAGAGCATCTTATTAATAGGAAATAACAAACATTAAATGCATTGATGACATCTGAAAATCGAAGCTCTTCACTGTCACCACACCAGGCTGTGGATGAGTGTTCCCTAGTTCATGGTGACTAAAGATGTCAGAAGCACTTGGGTCTGGTTCCTGGCTGGTTTCTGCTGCCTGCTGCCTAAGGCAACCCTCCTGATTCTTTCATACACCCAGAGGCCTCAGATGAGGGCATCAGCTCCAAGCAACTGTGTCATCTGTGACATATCCTCAGCTCAAAGCTTGGCTTTCTAGTTTTGAAATCTGACACACCTCTCATCATAACAGAAGAAAAAGGGATGGAAAACAGGATTATTTTTCATTGTTAGTATCTCCTCTGGGACTGCTGCAGTACCCTTCTATCCAGTCTCCATCTAGCTTGTCAGAATCATTTCCTTTATCTCTTGAAGTATCTCTTTCCAGTCAGTGAGCACTCCTCCCGCCTCTCTCAGTCTGTGGTATTCCTGCATCGTATTGCAAGTCTGTTAGTGACAAGATATATACTAGTCCAGCCACAGCTGTTCCATGTCATGTTACATCTTTTTTTTCTATTTTTAACATAAATTTTTAATAACAGTAACACAAGAAGACATAGCAGCAAATATATCATCTTACTATGACAAAATATTTGTTTTCCAGCTTCCTGTTAACAGAAACAGGAAGCCCAATAATCCCATCTCCAACTGTGATATGATTCATATTCACGTCTTTCTCACATAAATTGAAAGCCATTTGTGTCTTCTGACGCAACTTACCCACTTTTCTTGGCAGATTCCCTTCCTGAACCCCTTATTTTGAGGAGCTAAGGAGAACAGGAGCTCATGGTTTAGCTTGGGCTCACATTTCCTGTGCCTACCTCTATACAGCCCAACATTAGCAGCCTGTCAAACCCAACGAGTGTTTGGCATCCCATAGCTGTCATGTCTCTTTGGAATAGTCCAGTGGAGCACTGAACCTCAGTGTTACATAATTGCTCCAGGGAAACCTATTTTTAGTGTTAAATATCCATTTTTAGCATTAAATACAGCTCTCTCGCTGGTCACATAACACTCTAAGACTGAAGAAGGCTTGAATCAAAGCAAAGCCTCAATGTTACTGAGGCTAGGTGAGAATAACACGCGCCGTGGGTTATTTTTTTTCCAAGCAGACACTGAGTCTTACACTCAGCATTTGTCACCTTGCACTCATAGGTACCCACGTCAAATACCAGACAATGGTGATACTAGCAACTAGAATCTGGCACAAAGTCCAGCATTTGTTTATTCCTCTATATTATATTACCAGATAGATATACAAAGCTCTGGAGAAGACCAGTCCAGCTATCTTTACTTACCTTATCACTGTGGCTGTCTAGACAGGCGAAGAAAATGTGTAGATGCTCTACTCTCAGGTTTTCCCTGCTATGAACCATTGTATGGCATTAGAACGCTCTCTCCCTCTTCTCTTGGAAGAATATCTATGTAAATGCTCATGCCTGCTACAACTTGACATCCCTCCCCTGTGCTCCATATTCACTGAACAAATAAAAGAGCAAGTAGATAAATGAATGGATTACTAACACGAGTTTGAGGAAACGCTTGGAGAAATTTTGGGTCATGATATGGAAGTAGGTATTGTCCCTTATTCATTTAATGCAGAGAAAATAAGGTACATATTACAGGAAACTATTTATATATAGCCCTGGGTTTATTCAACATGTGATTTCACATAAATTTTTGGTCTATCCTTCATCTCACTGGGTTCCCAATCAATACACACCACTCCCCTTTTCCCTTTCCTCTCACTCCAAGAAACATAAAAATTACACACTATAACAGCACAATCACAATTACTTTGAGATGATTCAAATTCAATAGGAAAAGATTTGAAGAAAAATATTAAAGGGAATTATCAAGCTAGAAGGAAAATTACATCTCCTCTCTGACTCAGGTCTAAAGCCAATGGAGCTATAAGTGGGTTCATTACAGAACTTTTACCCAGCCCAGGATACATGAAAACTGAGTTCTGGTGCCCTCTGCTCATTTATATAAAACTTAGACTATGAGGCATGTTAAAGAACCACAGGGTGGTGTGGAGTGTGTGTTTCAATGGCTTGGGGCATGTATAAGTTGGTCTTCGCTATGTGATAAATCATCCCAATACTTAATGTTTTAAACAGCAAGTTGCTTACTAATTAATGGATCAGCTGTGCAGTCTGCTGATCTGAGCCAGACTTCGCTGATTTTGGCTGGGTTTGCTCATATGTCTGTAGCCAACTTTGGGGGAGGGGAAAAGCAGCTAAGGGCTGTCTGATCTATGATGGCCTCAGCTGGGTCAACTGGGAAGCCTGAGGATTCTCTCCATATGGTCTGCCATCATGCAGCAGACCATTCTGGACTTGTTCACATTGCAGCAGCAGGGTTCCAAGAGAGTGGAAATGTGCAAGACTTCTTAAAAGTTTAGGCTTGGAACTGCCACTCTGATATGTCTGCCACTTTCTGTTGGCCAAAACAAGTGTGAGAACAGTCCTAACTGAAGCAGGGAGGAAAGCAGATTCAGCATAGGTACAAGCTGCAAAGTCACATTACAGAGGGCATAAATGAAAGGAGAAAAGAAGGTTTATGGCCACTTTTACATAGAGACTTTATTATTATTCTCTTTCCCCTTCTCCCTCCAGATTGTCCCCTTCTCCTGGCAAGTAAGAGTCCAGGAAAAAAGTAAATTCAGTTAGATGAATGAGAACAAAAACACAATGGTTTGGTAGGATGTTTCTATTTAGTTTTGTCCTGTGGTTGATTGCAAAAGTTGTCATAACCCTCCTACTCCTCCTTCTGCTTCTCCTATGGTAGAAAAAATCAGCAGCTATGCTGCTTAGGGCTCTCATCTGTTCTTGTAGTGAGAAACTCTTCTTATCGCATAAGTGTCAAAGTGTGTTCCAGAAACAGGCCCAGTCTCCCCCGGTGACTATTTGGCAATAATTCTCATGCTGTCTATAGCCATCTCTCCGCGATGGTCGTAGGTGATAGGATGCAAGCCTAAAACAGGATTCCAAATTGCTTTCTATACGACTTTCATTATCCCAGCAAGACACTGAGGGCTTTCTTGCAATTTTTTAAGCATCAGACCTGAACTGTCATTCTCAACTCACATAAAAAACATCCCTATAGCAAGAAACACTTTGCTGAGACCTGTGGCTTATATGCTTTTATTCTTCCCAAAATCAAGTAGTAAATATCAGGATGGTCCTGTGGGACTAAGGATGAGCCATGTTATGAGCTCTGTCAGCAGGCTGATGCTCAGAACCCAACAAGTTAATAAACAGATTTTGCTTTTATTAAAGCATCATCTTTCAAACCATAAAATGTTTCAAGGTGTGGCTAGTTTCTGAGCTTCCCTTGCAAAAAGGAAATTAAAAGCAACCTAAGGTTGTTCACCAAAAAAAAAAAAAAAAAAAAAAAAAAGTGCCATACCCCATCCTATCAGCCCTTCAGATGACACCCGATTCCAATTTCGGAGCAGCATCGGACTTGAACTTTTGAATGTTCATGACTCCTTATTGCCCCATGACACCCTAGCAGGGAGTCTGTCCACAGCTTTGTTACTTCGTCTCTAAATGCACACCCAGCTCCATATTATTGACACAGGAAACGGCTAACAGATGAACAACAGCACTTTAAGAGCTGCAGAATGGAAAGTAAGTCTAAAATCTCTCTGTTTCCTAGGTCCAATGTGGGACCTCGTCAGCTCACCGTATGGAATACTTCCAATCTGAGTCATGACAACCGACGAAAATACATCTTTAGTGATGAGGAAGGACAAAACCAGCTGGGCATCCGGATCCACCAGGACATCCCCCTCCCTCCAAGGAGAAGAGAGCTCCCTGCCTCGCTGACCACCAATGGGAAAGCAGACTCCCTAAATGTATCTCGGAACTCAGTGATGCAGGAACTCTCAGAGCTCGAGAAGCAGATTCAGGTGATCCGTCAGGAGCTGCAGCTGGCTGTGAGCAGGAAAACGGAGCTAGAGGAGTATCAAAGGACAAGTCGGACTTGTGAGTCCTAGGTGACCACACTGCTCCCCTTTCTCAGTTCCTGACCTTCCTCTGAGCCCTTGAGACACTTTGTAATGCTCTTTTGTAACTACCGACAAAGGTATGGGCAAGCTGAGGCCTAGGTCTTCTTAGAGGTCAAGTCTGCTCTCCCTAGCCTAAAATGCAGCAGCAGCTCCTCTCAAGCTCACTTCCTAGGTCTCCAGGGTAGGAGTGTTTTCCTAGCAAGAATCTTAGTCAGGAGTAAGCTCTGTGTGAGAGATCTGTGAAGAATCAGATAACCCCAGCTCCTGTTAACCTTTTCACCAGGTGCCACAGTAATATTTCTGGTTTTTAGCCCTTTCTCTGCACTACCAACAAGAGATAAAATTGTTACTCATACTTATGTCTTACTGGGTTGTTAGTTTTCATCATAACACAGAACGAGGTTATCCAGGGTTGTAGCTTTTGATACAACTCCCCAATCTAGATTTATTTCTACATTCTGAATGGGGAGCAGGTAAGAGCAGAGCACCTCCCACTGGGGGTGGGGTACTTAAAAATTAACTCATTAGTATCATAAAAGTAAAGGATTGATTGGATCAGGCAAGAGCTAGGTTTTTGAGAAGGTTCTGGATCTCTGACTCCATCCTGTTTAGTAAGAACAGGCTTATTAACACGCCACTGTGAAAGGGGAAGGGGATGTGGTAAGCGGAAACAGAAGACAGGCAGAAGAGGCATTAAAAATGCATATCATGCTTTTAGAACAAAAGCTCTGGGCCAGAAAGGCAATTTGGCCAAAAAATGAATAAGACTACTTCTAATGTAATTAAGCATCTCCACTATGGTGTGTGCCTTTTATAAAGAAGAGAGAAAAAGGCAAAGCAAGGTTGTGGCCTTAGGTTGGACCTGGAATATCCCTGCTTATTGCCTATAATGGAATAAGTGACACTGTGGGTGAAATGTTCTACACGCCACACACTAGGCCATTTTCAGATCAGCAGTCACCCATCGCTTGGCATAGAAATCCCAAAACCTCCAGCCTGGGAACACCACCAGCTTTGACCATTCAAGAATTTGCCATGCACTTTGCATATCCGTATAGAAAATTAAGTCAATTCCCCATCCTCATATTCACTCATCTCCGAGGAGCTATGAACAGGTTTTGGTCCCTCTAATGATCCTCCAGCCTCATCTAATGCCCCCCAAAGACTGATACAAGTAACCTCCCCTCTGCTTAGGCGCCACTTTCTTAGCATATAATGTTTACGCAGCTAGGGAAAGGAATATGGGTCAGTTCTCAAATGTCAATGTAGATAAGAGTCATCTAGTGGAGAACTCATCAGAGTGCAGATTGCCAAGACCCTTCTCCAGAGATTATGGGGTGGGGGTGGAGGTCTAGAGGTGAGCTCAGAAACCTACTGTTAGCCAACATCCCCAGGTGACTGACACGGGTGGTCTAAGAATTACTCTTCTAGAAACACCATTCTGGAAGTTTGGCTGCCCACAGGCATGAGGAGAAGCATGAAGAGAAAACGTGTTTGAGAAGTTTGTTTGTTTTGTTTTTTAATAACTTTAGCACACATCTGCTGATTCTCCTTCAACATCCTCATCCAACCCTGGGGACCATTTAGGACAAGACATCCTTATTTATCAATTACGTGCTTTATCTTCTCAGGACTCATTGTTCCATTCCCAATCAATTTGAATGCCTACAATAAGTTCAGGAGCTGTGCCAAGAACTTTCCTCTTTTACAGCTGCAGATCATTGGAAAGGTGTCTCAATCACAAAACTTCTCCCTCTACTACTGGATGAAATGTCTGCATTTCCACCAAAATCTACCCAGTCGCCCAGGGAATAACAACTTAAGCTGTAGTTAGATAACACCTAGTGATTAATTGGCTAAGAAAACCCTGGAGTGGAGGGAGGCTCGGAGATACTGATACGGATGTGGGAGGGCTGCAAAGTTAGAGGTCACCAATCCCACAGATGAAACAGTTCAATAATGAGGAAACAGGTGAGCCCTGAACACAGAAAAGGACAACTCTGTGTTGAAATACCCATCCCCTCACGTTCTCACCCCAGGCCCAGAAGTAGGTTTGCAGCTGCCTTTGGAAGATTTTGCCCCTTAGCCATCCCCACCCACTTGCAACAGCTAAGGATGCTGGAGACTCTGCCACCATGCTCTGCGTGCCCCTGAACTTCTGTGCTGCCCAGAAGGCTGATGTACAGGTGTACCTCAATCCACATTACAGCCATGCTCCTAATGTACATGGACATTTTTGTAACTTAGCTCATATTCTGACTGTATTTGAGAAGCTGGCTCTTTAAGGGAACCCAGAAGTGAATCCTTTTGTAAAGTAAAGCACCCTTTTGTAATGCAATTAATTATCCCTTAATGTATCTGTTTTGTAAGTCTGAATTTTTGTATATCGGGTTTACCTTAAGCTTCTCTAGTGAGGCATTCTGAGCAGTGGTGATCACATGCCAGATCGCCCTGCATATCCACGAAGTAGATGACCAATGCACGCTCCTCAAACATCTTTGGAGGAACCACCTGGCCAAAACACTGGCCAGGATGCAGCAAGCAGCAGCAGGGGCTGAAGGCAGGCTTACTGCCGTCAACGTTGCTTGAAATGCCTCTATGTTCTGAATAAAGAAAAACCATAATTGCTTGTGGTGAAATGAAGCAGTCTTCATGTTAAGTAGCAATGGTTATTTTTACTGGTAGTAATTGAACAGTGTTTTGCAATTTGTGAAACGGTGTATTGTGTTTTGTAAAGTGTCATGAAATGGTGGGTCCTTGGAAACCTCCTTTCTGTTCAGCTCCACCTCTGTTCTTTCAACTCCTTTCAGGCTCAAAAAACAAAAACAAAGATCAGAAGCCTTCACATGGAGGGTTGTATTCTGGTAAAGAAGAAAGAGATAAGGGATGCTACCTTGCTTCCTCTACTGGTCTTCCCTTTTCATGAGATCAAGAAGGCCTCCATTCTCTTCCAAGTGCTTGTGCTGGGAAACCTGGAATATGACACATTGTGTCACACACCCCAACCCTGTTTTCCAAGGGGAATTTCTGGCACAGGAAGCACATAGTAAAGCAGGCTCGAATGAGCTGAAACAGATACAGCTACCTGGTTCGTGTAAATAAGAATAAAGGCCCCAGAGTGTGTATGCTTCCAGGTGGAGGAGAAAGGGGAATCTCCCAAAATTTAAAAACAAGTTGGAAGAATAACCAGGACAGCCAAGTGAGGCAGCCACAGGGACCCAAGCAGTAGAGGTCTTTAATGTGCCTGGAGATGACTCTCCGTCATTCACGAATCTTGCTATTGCACAAACCCTATCAGGAGCTGCTGCTTCCCTTCCAGCCAGAGAAGTGGTAAGTGGAGCAGGTGCCAAGCAGAACAGACCTTATCATCTGGGTAACAGACTTCTCAGTGTTGGTGCTGTGTCTGTTAGAGCCTTAGAGCAAGTTAAGTACTTCCTTGGTGTGGGTAAAGAAAAAAGGGGAAAGAAACTACTTTAGAGCCTTTTTCTCCCAACTCATATTTTTGATAGGAAAACCAGAAAACCCATCCAGTTCTTCAGAAATTGCTTTCTAGGCATTAACACCACTTTAGTATCTATACTGTTTAGTTATTCCTTTCTTAACCCACCTAAACTACCCATCTAATCCAGGATTCCGTCACTCTTTTTTAGTTTAGTTACTAATCATTTTATGAAAATAATGTACTTATAAGTATTTTCTTAAGGTTTGTGAAGAGTATTTGCATTGTGTCTTCATATTAATGTGTTTGCAATCACTCCGCTCCAGGAAGAACGGAAATGCTGTCTTGTGAGCATGAAGTGAACGGGCTGTTTTGCTCCAGCCACTTTTCTTGTACAACCACTTGGATGGATTAGATGTCCTCAGGTCTTTTCCATCTTCAGTTTCTATGACTGTGGAATAAATGTTCAGATAGAAACTTCACTATTGGATGTACTGCTGGCTTTGTCTTTGGAGATTCAAATGTTGACATGATACCAGTTCCTTCTTAACAGGAGACCCGTTAATGCTATGATTTATGTTTGTTTCCTTGCTATAGTTCAAAGAAGAAACACAAGATATACTGAGAAAACTCAGAGCTCAGGCATCACGAAATGGCTTCATCTGAGATAGACCTTCCAGGAAAAAGCACAAGTTCAGAGGTCTCTAAAATCCTGTACTGATCACCTTCATTAGTAATTCAACAAACATCCGCTAAACAGCTTCCATGTAGGTGCCAAGTGCTGGAGACACAACAGTGAAGAAGATAGGTATGGTCCCCAACTTCTTTTTTTTTTTTTTTTTTTTCGGGCTGGAGTCTCGCTCTGTTGCCAGGCTGGAGTGCAGTGGTGCGATCTCGGCTCACTGCAACCTCTGCCTCCCGGGTTCAAGCGATTCTCCTGCCTCAGCCTCCCGAGTAGCTGGGACTACAGGCGCCCACCACCTTGCCCGGCTAGTTTTTTTGTATTTTTTTTTAGTAGAGACGGGGTTTCACCATGTTGGCCAGGATGATATCGATCTCTTTACCTCATGATCCACCCACCTCGGCCTCCCAAAGTGTTGGGATTACAGGCGCGAGCCGCGGTGCCTGCCCTCAGTCTGACCTTTTTACAACCTATAAACAGGTAATACTTTAAAACTAACATATATTGGGTACTTACTATAAACCATGATCTTATTTAATCTTAACAACCCCACAAGACAGACACTATAGATGTAGTCTTAAGTAGGTAAGTGGGACCTCCAGTTTACAGATAAAAACGTAAGAGTTGGGCTGGGCACGGTGGCTCACGCCTGTAATCCCAGCACTTTGGGAGGCTGAGACGGGCGGATCACGAGGTCAGGAGATCAAGACCATCTGGCTAACATGGTGAAACCCCGTCTCTACTAAAAGTACAAAAAAATTAGCCGGGCGAGGTGGCGGGCACCTGTGGTCCCAGCTACTCAGGAGGCTGAGGCAGAAGAATGGCGTGAACCCGGGAGGCGGAGCTTGCAGTGAGCGGAGATCGCGCCACTGCCCTCCAGCCTGGGCGACAGAGCGAGACTCTGTCTCAAAAAAAAAAAAACAAGAGTCAGAGAAACTACGTAACTTGCCCAAGGTTGCAGAACTAGTAATAGTAACAGATTAGTACAACCATGCAGGATTCTGGTCACTGCTTCACAATTTTCTATTCTTCCTTGAATCCCCTTTTAGTCTTTCTGCCTTATTGCTTCTTTCCCATGCCTCAGTACGGCCCCTAGCTCCACAGAACAGAGAGAGAAGTGGATAGTATAACTGCACCTTCATTGGTCCACTTAACACTGTAATACCTGTATCTCATAAAAATAGCATTTCAGCATCTTTTCTTTCTGCTTTCTAGCCCAACCAAGAACTGATGCAAACACAGTTCACAGTTACAAATCATCAGCAGGCCTGCAGTCCCAGACAAACTGGCAGTTTCTAATAACCCAAGCAGTTTTAGCTGCAGGCAAATTTGCCTTCATGAATCTGCTAGCCTGTTGCCTTCTTCACACACATTCTTTCAGAATAGAAACAATCAAATTTCAT